CCAAAGATGTAAAATAGCAATAAAATGCATTCCCTATACATGTGTCTTCACAAACCTTGAACTTCACTCTGCTTCCAAAGAAGTCTTGAGACAGGACAAGATTCACCACTGTTACCACTGCAGCTCATTTTCAATGTATTTAGAATGCGCAGCACATTTAACCTTTATAGTACTTTATGCCAAAGTGCTATTTATCTCAATAGAAAATTGTATTCGAAAGCTTTGAATCACTCTAGAAGTTAACATAAATTTATCTATGTTACAGATATGTATAGAGACAGAAAAGAAACTTGCAGAAAGAATAGTATTTTCTACTATATCCTCTAAAGCTAGAAAGATGTCTCTATCCAATTTCATTAAATTTGTCCATTAGATTGGAACAGAAGTGGAAAAAAACCTGTGTTTTGGCTATCATGCTATATAAACATATACATCCATTCATATATGTGTGCATGTACAACATTTACCCACGCCCTCTTGCATATATACACAACATATGTGATAAATGCAAATTTTAATATTCATCCTCTGGACTACTAATGTACTAACCAAGGTGGATAAGCCTAACAGTTATGGGCCACACACTAGTTCTGAGCTCAGTCTGGTACAGTCTGAACACAGACTGGTAGAAGATACCTGCGTGTTGATACCTGTTCCCAGCATTACTAGTCCTTTATGCAGAGGTATAGTGAATGCCTTAGTGCTTCAGGTGCTTTTGGAAGGCCATAGTTCAGTGTTCTGCTGTTAAGGAAGTGGTGAAGGACAAGCCACCCTCCTTCAGGGTCATAGAATAAAAGGCAGTTAATTGGATGGAGTTAGTGAGAAGGCTGTACAGTGCAACTAAGGAAATACCATATCAAGTTATTAATTTTAGTGTATGGTGAGAAGGAGAGATCTTTTGTAAGAGATCAGTTTATATTTTTTTATATTTAGACTTTTGTACTATATTCAATTTCCTTATAAAATGAAATAAAACTTAAAAGATCTTTCTATTTTTTTCCCTCAGCTCTATAATGCTGTTTTGTGCACAAGAGAGCTTTAAAGAAAAACAAAACAAAAAACATTCCACGTCCGGAAGGACAACCCACTGAAAGTCTCCTAGACTGGAGCAGTATTCACAAAATATGCAGCTAGGTGCAGAAAAAGATGAAGAAATTATTTTAGATTCACATGCAAAACACTCCTTAGAACCCTACTTTGGATCCCCTTTGAAAGGGCCCTCTTTCTGCGCTCATGAAAAGTGAGCGTACTAGGCTAACTTCTGACAGCTAAATCTGTGAAAACCATAGAATCACAGAATCATAGAATGGTTTGGACTGGAGAGGACCTTTAAAGATCGTATAGTTCTAACCCCCCTGTCATGAGCAGTGACATCTTCCACTAGATCAGGTTGCTCAAGGCTCCATCCAACTTAACCTTGAACACTTCCAAAGATCTACAATGTCTCTGGGCAACCTGTTCCAGTCTCGCCATTCTAATCATAAAGAATTTATTCTTCTATCTCATCTAAATCTACCATCTTTCATTTTAAAACCTTTGCCCTTCTCTTATCACTATAGACCTTGGTAAAAAGTCTCTTGCTGACTTTCTTATAAGCCCCCATTATAAATTGAAGGCTGCAGTGAAGTCTTCCTGGAGCCTCTCTTCTCCAGGCTGAACAATCCCAACTCTCAGTCTTTCTTCACAGGAGAGGTGTTGCAGCCCTTTGATCATTTTTGTGGCCCTTCTCTGGACCCACTCTAACAGGTCCATGTATTTCTTGTGCTGGTGTTCCCAGAGCTGGATGCAGAGCTTATTCAAGCCATCTACAACTTTCATTAATGACAATTAGTAATTTT